CATGACTTTTGACTGCCCTGAAACTTTACTACTAACAGCTGCTGTTGCCTGGAAGCTGTACTGATAACACAAACAGTCGCTCAACGCATATATACTGTATTCTTGCAGTGAAGCTAAAGAAAATATCATTAGGGAAATCCTAAGGAAGAGGAAATATATTTACTATTCATAAGTGAAAGTGGATCAGCATAAAGGTCTCTGTGCTCGTGGTTTTCAGGTTGAGTAGGCTGAGGAGGAGGAAGAGGAGGGGTCGGGCTTGCTGCCTCACGAGTAGTAGAGGCAAAAGAAAAATCTGCAGAGTTCAAACCTGTGTGGTTCAAGGGGTCAACTGGAATTTATAAGAGCAATTACAGTTGTGTGTCACTTAGCAACGGGGATACTGAAAAACGCATCGTTAGGTGGTTGCGTCACTGTGGAAGGTCACAGAGCGAGGTCGCGTGCACGCAGATGGCTATGCGTGCAGCCGTTGCCCCGGGCTACCCCTGCATGTTCCTGCCCTGAGTCCTGCAGGCCAGCGTGACGCGGCGGTAAGTGCCGGCGTCTCTAAACATGTCTAGACCTGGCAAAGGCACAGTGAGAACGCTGCGTCGTGATCTGACGGGGCCGCTGTTGTGTGTGCAGTCTGTGGTTGCCCGGAACATCCTCACGCAGCGCGTGACTAGTTTCTCCCGTGCTGGTACCGCCGTCGCGTGGCTACTGAGCCCTCACGCTGTGGCGAGCGCATCTGAGGAGCAGAGTCTTATGTTCTTTCTGTAACTTTAACTGCAATGGCCACACCTGGGTCGTGGCTCCCTCCCGGGCAGCGCGGATGCAGGGCGTGTGGACACTGTTCTGTCTGGGCTCTTGGCGCAGCGGCGCTCACGCCCAAACCCCGCTCAGTGCCTGCCACGGGGCCCTGTTCTCGAGAAGCGGGCTACCGCGATTAACCCTTTCTTGCTCAGATGAGTTACTCACCTCCGGTCTGGAGTCTGGTTTCCTGTATCCCCGCATGGCCCGGCCCCCACGTGGCCCCTCCCCACGCTCTCGCTCCCCTCCGGCTCCCCGCGCTCTCTGCCACCACCTCCACGCCGACCCCGGTTTTCGAGGGAAAAGTCAGATCTTGGAGTTGCCTCGCCCGACGCCCCAAGACTGCATTCGGTTTTTTCAGACGTGTCTGCGAGTCCCTGCGCTGGCCTGCGGCACCTCCACGCTTTAGTCTGTCTCTCTCTCTTTTTTTTTTTTTTCCGAGACAGGGTCTCACTGTGTCGCCCAGGCTAGAGTGCAATGGCGTCATCACAGCTCACTGCAGCCTCCAACTCCTGTCTTCAAGTGATCCTCCCGCCTCGGCCTCCCCCAGTGCTGGGATTACAGGCCCGAGCCACCGCGCCTGGCCTGTGGCCTCTGTGTGTCTCTTGACTCAACTTCCCCCCCAGTCAGCAAGACCTTGAGGGCCGGGGAGGCTCTTTATCTCTCTGTCTTTGTACCTAGCCAGCCACGGCCGCCGCATAGCACTCACAAATATTTGTTGAATGAAGGTTTAAAAATCAGTTTTATTCTCATTTTTAAACTTTATATCTGTTCCCTCCTTCCTTCCTTTCCTTTCCCTCCCTCCCTCCCTCTTTCTCTCTCTTTCTTTCTTTCCCCTTTCACTTTGTTACAACCGTGTACACTGAACTCACCCCAGACAACCAGCTTATCAGACGGTGAAGATTTTATCCAGATCTCAGCGGGGGTAGGGGAGGGTCCCTCTTGAAAAAAGTATACATTTTTGGAGGTCTAGAGCTTTTGCTTCAGGGCATCACTGGGCCGCTCTGCCTTTGCGTTGATGGGGGTCTCTGAGACCCCTCTGAGGCGATACCCGAATCTTTTGTTTTTGACATTTTTGACATCTCTCCTGGTGAGTCTGGTTCTACTCAAGGCCTCGGCTTTGAACAGTGTGAGA